AACTGTTGAAAATGGAGGACTACCTTTATGTATGTTTGTGTCTTCAAGGCGCCATCCATTGCATACCTATTTAAGGATAAACTGTATTGGAATTAAAAAAAGAAGGATTTAGGATTTCATAGTTAAGCTGCAGAGCATGTGTGCCTCAAATCCCTTTGGAGTGAGACTTTCTCCAGAATAAACACGTGTTAGAATTGCATTTGCAAAAGTAGGCAGGCAGGAGGTAGAGAGATGCTTAGGTGCCTTCTGCTTGGCATGCACAATGGGGGAAAAAATCCAATTTAATTTCACCATCTTAATCCATTATTTTTCTTTAAAATTATTATGCTGCATGTCATCAGCAATCCTCAATAAGTAATTCATTCTAAGACAGGGGTCCCCAACCCCCGAGCCATGACCCACTAGTGGGCTGCAGCCTGTTCAGAACCGGACGTGAGCTGTGGGCGCTTGCACTCACATGCGAAGCTCCATTTGTGTGAGAGGCGGGCTCACACACCTGCTACATGCACAAATGGAGCTGCATGCCGTTTACACAGAACCATCCTCTCCCCCTGAGAGCCACCAAGCCAGAAAGGTTGGAGACCGCTGTTCTAAGAGATATCCCAAATGGTGATTTTCCTGGAAAATTGTTCAGTTTCACCATATTAAACAATCATACACCCCAGTGGTGGGATTCAGCCGGTTTGCACTTCGGCAGAACTGGTAGCTAATTTTTTGTTGCTCAGGCCCAGAATGGACTTCCGGAAGTGGCATCCACACAGAGAACCGGTTGTTCGCATATTTGAATCCCACCATTGATACACCCCACACACAGAGAGTTATATCCCCACAAAATAGACATATTATGTCTATTCTGTTTTTTTAAACTCGGCCTAGCAAGTATTTATATAATGTGAATATTTTTCCACATATGGGTAATTAGTACACACTGATGCAGTGCAGAAACTGGTGAAAACAGGAAAAAGCCAAGCAACTGAGGAATCTATTTTTGTGAAATTCAGATACGTTCAATTTCTGCAGTAATAAAACACAATAAGCCCACACTTATATTTCTTTTCAAATTTTTCATTACTAGGGCTTTGCCTCTCAAATAGGGCATCTTGGAACTTTGTTTTGTTTTAAACTAACAGGTCTGAGTGGCTGGGAAATGGTTGGAAGCCCCTGCTCTAATCCATTCCCATGTTTGAGAAGCCCTGAGGTGGAGATAGAGCCTTTGTGGGTGGCCACTTCCTTTGCCGAAGACTAAGCAAACCCCAACCTTTATTTAGAATGTAGAATAACAGGTTTGGAAGGGACCTTGGAGGTCTTGTTCAAGCAGGAAACCTTATACCATTTCAAACCAATGGTTATCCAATCTCTTCTTGAAAACCTGCAGTGATGGAGCACCCACAACAATGTAGAAACCAGCTGCCAACTAAGATTTTGCTGTTTCCCCAGTGCTTCTCTTTTAATCAAGGAGGAAGTAGTATTTCTGTGGCTTCTCTCTATTCCAGCGGTTCTCAACCTGTGGGTCGCGACCCTTTTGGGGGGTCACACAAGCCTTTCACGGGGGTCACCTAAGACCATTGTAAAACACGTATTTCCGATAGTCTTAGGCAGGGCTTGTCAACCGCCTTCTCTCCCTCCCCCTCCCCCCCCCCGCTCCACCTCACTTGTTTGTGGAAAATATGCTGCTTGGCAGCAGTCTGCATGAACTCTACCAAATGTGCCCTGCAGGGGGCACATGAAGAGCGCAGGCGCAGAGCAAGGCCCCGCCCTCCCCAGGGACTCATTGTGCAGCAACTGGATTGACTTCTTTTCGTGCACGCAGGTCAGCAAAGGGGAGGCCGCCGCAGCACCCAACTCCTGCACCTGTCAGCTGGCGACCCCTGAACTTGCGCTTGTCAGCTGGGAGGTCTGGCAACGGCCGCCGGTCTCCTTTGCCACCCCGCCCGTCCTTGACTCCTCCTCCGCCCGTTCACGTCGAGCCCGCCAGAGCTTGACAGGGAGAGAGGGAGGGAAGGAGGAAGGGACTCCTCCTCCTCTCCTAAGCTTCAAAGCATGATCGGCTTCCCAAGGGCGCCACAATCCTCATGAAAGCGGGGGAGGGGGGGAGAAGCAAAGGGTGCGAGAAAGCTCACGGCAGGCTCGAAGGAGCACCTGTCAGCGCTGGTGACGAGAAATTCCCCAGAAACCCAGGGAAGGGGTGGAAAAAAGGAGCCCCCTTTGGGAGGAAACCGCCACTTTCTTCCCCTTGGCTTTACGCTCTTCTGTTCCTCTGCAGCTGGGCTGGCAAGCCTCTCCTGGCTGGAACTTCCTTTCCTTCCCTCCCTCTTGGTCTCTTCCTCCTTCCCTCCCTCTCCCATTGTCCCTTCCTTCCTTCCTTCCTTTCCTTTGCCTCCCTCTTTGTCCCTCCTTCCCTCCCTCTCTCCCCTTGTCCCTTTCTTCCTTCCTTCCTTTCCTTCACCTCCCTCTTTGTCCCTCCTTCCCTCCCTCGTTCCCCTTGTCCCTTCTGTTCTTCCTTCCTTCCCTCTTGTCCAGGATCGGGGCGAACCTCTACAGCTGATCCGCACTTTTGCAGAGCAGCCAAGAAGCAGGTCAGCTGTAGCAGCTCTCCTTGGCTCCTGCCCAGCAAACTTGCTTGAGCTTTGCTAGAAAACATGCCACTTGCTAATTTAGCAGAAGCGCGAATCAGTTGTAGCCCGGCGCTGATCCTGGGGCTTCTGCTAACTTAGCAAGTGGCTTGTTTTCTGGCGAAGCTGAGCAAGTGAGCTGGGCGGAGCTCTCTTCTGCCTCTGGCAGCCTGTCCCCCTCCCCTTGTCCCTTCCTAGGCATGGGGGGTGGAGGGGGGAGGAAGGAAGGGACGAAGAGGGAGGGAAGTAAGGGACAATGAGAGAGGGAAGGAGGGAAGGAACAATGGAAGGAAGGGACAAAGAGGGAAGGAAGGAAGGAAGGAAGGAAGGAAGGAAGGAAGGAAGGAAGGAAGGAAGGAAGGAGGAAGGGACTAAGAGGGAGGTGAAGGAAAGGAAGGAAAGAAGGAAGGAACAATCGGGAGGAGAAAGAGACTAAGGGAGGTGAAGGAAAGGAAGAAGGAAGGAAGGAAGGGACAATGGGAAAGAGGGAGGGAAGGAGGAAGAGACTAAGAGGGAGGTGAAGGAAAGGAAGAAAAAAAGGAAGGAAGGGACAATGGGAAAGAGAGAGGGAAGGATGAGACTAAGAAGGAGATGAAGGAAAGGAAGGAAAGAAGGAAGGAAGGGACTGGGAAAGAGGGAGGGAAGGAGGAAGAGACTAAGAGGGAGGTGAAGGAAAGGAAGAAAAGAAGGAAGGAAGGGACAATGGGAAAGAGGGAGGGAAGGAGGATGAGACTAAGGGAGGTAAAGGAAAGGAAGAAAAGAAGGAAGGAAGGGACAATGGGAGAGAGGGACGGAAGGAGGAAGAGACTAAGAAGGAGGTGAAGGAAAGAAAGGAAAGAAGGAAGGGACAAGGGGAAAGAGGGAGGGAAGGCGGAAGAGACAGAGGGAGGTGAAGGAAAGGAAGAAAAGAAGGAAGGGACAAGGGGAGAGAAGGGAGGGAAGGAAGGCAGGCACCCACCCCAGTCCCATCCCAGAGACCCACAGATTCCCCCCCACAGGCACTCTGCAACCTGAATGATCAGCTGGCCACGCCCCCTGGGACACTGTGAACATCATAAGTATGAATCAGTTGTCAAGAATCCGAATGTAAATCACATGACCCTGGGGATGCTGCAACAATCATAAGTGTGAAAAATGATCATAAGTCGCTTTTTCAGTGCTGTTGTAACTTCAAACAGTCACTAAGCGAATTGTTGTAAGTCGAGGACTACCTATACTTTCCCATTTTTTTCCTTTTTTGGGGTCACGTTTTTGATACACCCCCCCGCCAGCTGGATGGGGGGTTGGGGGTCACCACAACATGAGGAACTGTATTAAAGGGTCGCGGCATTAGGAAGGTTGAGAACCACTGCTCTATTCTTTCCTAACCTTTCCTGCGCGGGAGGAATGTTAACTCCAGTCCGAGCAAAGGCCAAAGAGGGCAGATCCAGAAGTGTGCGGGGAGGCGCACTCAGCTACTCCAATTTAAGCAGCCACGAAGAAGGCGGCGATGGTTTCTTGCCGGGGGATACTTTTACGGCAAAGCAAGCAGGATCCTAGTCAGGTCAGGACAGCGATGACCTTATCCACCCTTTCCTGGATGGAACTTGGCGCCTTTATTTCCCGGCGCACACACGGATCGGCGGGGGCAGAGCGGGAGCTCCGGGGGTGGAGTTCAGATGAAAGAGGGTCCCCGCGGGCAGCTTGACAAACTCCCCCTTTTCCTGCCCCCACAACAGGCAGGGTCAGAGCTGCCACCCACGTAGCCCCAGTCGCGACAACGGGAGCGGTTAAGGTGGAAGCTGCCCGAACCCTCAGCCTTGTCTAAGGCTCCCGGGTCGCAATTCGCAAGCGCGCCTATCAGCAGGTCGCAAACACACCCGGGTCGAGTCGCCACAGAAACGAGAGCCTCGCCTGCAACCCAGAGACAAAAAGCGCGGTTCCCCCCGCCAAGCACACATTAACACTTTTCCGAGCGCAGGCGCCCACGCGGCCAGTGTACCCCCCCCTTTCCCGGTCGCACCCCTTTTCTTCGGTACTTCAGGCAACGTTCGCATCCGTGAGCAGCAGCACCATCCCTGCTCCGGGCTCCCCGGATGCTTGAACCGGGCGGGAAACGCTGAAACGGGGGGGGGAGGAGGGGGAAAAAACCCGCCACTTCTCCTCCAGTCTTCTCCAGCCCGGATTACCTGGAAAAGAGGGGAACGATGCTAAGGCCAAGCCGCACGATCCGATCCGCTGGCGAGGGCGGGTGGAAAGAGCCCAGAATGACCGCGGATCCGGGCACACAGGCGGGCAGGCAGGCTTTATAGAGAGACGGGAGAGGCATACCCAATGAAGAGCGGCAGTTTAGCAAGCATCGGAGCAAAGCAGGCGGGCGCTTGCTGGAACCAGAGACCGCCCTCCACCATTGACCAGACGAAACGCGATGCCGGGGTCAGAGAGCGGGCGCGCAATGGGATTGCTGGCAGCAGTGGAAAGGCGAAGGGCTCCCTCCTACCGTATTCTCGCGGATTGTGGGGAGGGGGGACGTGATGTGTAAGGTCAGAATTTCCTCTTACCGAAAGGAATGCGACTACGGGTTCCCTGTCTGTGCATGTTACTATTATGACCCTTCTCTTTTGAATCAATCCTAACTCGGGTAATTAGTGAGAATAGCGAGAAGCAACCTGGAACTAAGGAGAAACGTCTTAACAGTGAGAACAATTAACCAGAAGCTGTGGGTGCTTCATCACTGGAGGTTTTTAAGAAGGGACTGGACTGTCACTTGTCTGAAATGGTATAGGATCTCTTGCTTTGAGCAGAGGGTTAGACTAGAAGACCTTCAAGGTCCCTTCCAGCTCTATTCTGATTCATTGATTGATTGAGTTCCTGACAAGTCCGTGCAGTTTTCTTGGCAACTTGTTCAGAAGTGATTTGCCATTGCCATTTGCCCAAAGCCACCCATCTTGCTTTCCTGCTTAAGGAGGACTATAATTTGGGTTTTCCACTCCTAGTGTAGTGCCTTCAATTACTCTGCTAGTGTTTCCCAATCTTGGCAGCTTTAAAATATGCGGATTTCAATTCCCAGAATTCTCTAGCATGGTTCTACATTGATTGGTTGGTTTTTCATTAAAACTCCTAATGATCTGCCCTAGCTCCTGTTTCAACACAGTAAGAACTTAATAGCATATGAACAAGCTTAATCCTTTGTGCCATTTATAGGCTTTCTGGCTCTAATTCCTTTGTCCAGATTCAATAAATGATGCAATAAATCATGTTTGTTCTGAAAGTGCTATGAGATAAATATAGTTGTCAATGGATAATAATGCAAATATGTTGTTTTTTCAAAATGAGAAAAATTAAGGATGCCTAAACTGTTTGTGTGTGTTTTTAAAAATCCCTATTGATCTCTTGCATTCTCACATCCTTTAATGCAGGGGTGTCAAACTGCTGGCCTGTGGGCCAGATGCGTCATGCTGAAACCGCACCTACCCCATTGCTGGCAATGGAAAAAAAGTTGCATTGTGTCACGACACATCACTTGACGTTGCGAGTTTGACACCCCTGCTTTAACGAAACAATGCAAAAGATTGAAACAATGCAAAAGGTCCTTCCATAGCCATATTAATGATATATGTTTGCAGAGATTGATGAAAGTTGAAAACACAATCTATAACATCAGGTATTCCATATCTACATAGTTTGTCCCAGAACTTGGTGTCAGCCCTTAGAGGTAGATCAGATTAAGAAATCAAAATTATGAATGATAACACTACTTTTGATTATAAGATTACAGTAACAGAATCTTGCAAGTCTGGATGTGCCTCCCTGCCTCTCCCTTTATCTTCGAGAGAATTAGGGATGGTCAAGCCTAAGATGTGTTCTCAAATTCTACCTCAGAATCAAATGTCTTTGATCTGTACAGTTTTGGTTGCAGCTCTTCCTCCTATTTCTCAAAGTTATTCTTACAGCTCATTACACCTGGACCTAAAACTCTTAAATATTTTGGATATGTCATATTAAAGCTGCCCTATATGCTCTAGTTGAAGCAAAGCTCTTTTTTGTCTAACTGCTGATATAGCTGAATATGAGGATCAGAAGGAATAAAGATAACCTATATCAGTGGTTCTCAACCTGTGGGTTGGGACCCCATTTGGGGTCGAACGACCATTTCACGGGGGTCGCCAAACAACGCAGTCCGCCATTTTTTCCCCCTTTTCCTTAGCTGTGCTACTCCCTTTTATTCTATTGGCTTTTGAAAGCCAATAGAATAGACTCTCTTGAATAGAGTCTAATTCTATTGGCTTTCAAAAGCCAATAGGAATTGTCCAGGCTGTCTCTGCCCTGCTGAGCCCACCAAAAGTCCCATTCTGCAAACAGTGCTGCACCAGATGAGTAGTCCTCGACTTACGACCGGTTGAGTAGTCCTCGACTTACGACCGGTTAGGGGTCACGGCATTAAAAAGGTTGAGAACCACTGACCTACATGGATATGTGAAGCATAAAGCTAGAAAGGTCCAAGAATGAAATTGAATGCACCCAAGTTAACTTGTTGGGCATTATTAAGCAAAAATGCATTGGCATTGGGCACTATGATTCTGATAATTTCATGTTCTTGATTGATAGATTGATTGATTGATCATGTTCCATCAACTGGTTTTGATTCCTAATGACCACATAGATTTTCTCCAATACAATCTATCTCTAACCTGTTCTTTCATGTCTCCCAATAATGCATTCATCACCACTATATCTGAATCCATCTTGCTGCTTATCATCCTCTTATTCTCTTTCCTTCCACCTTTTCTAGCATTAGAATCTTTTACAAATAGCTGTGTCCAAAGTAAGATAATTGGAGCCTGGTCATTTGTGCCCTGAATGAGAACTCTGAGTTGATTTGTCAATGATTTCTCAAAAATCTTTTCTAGCGGCATTCATAACCAAGGAAAAGCTTGTAAGAGCTGTAATGCAATGTAATGCAATCAATGAACACTTACACCTTTCTACTGGGTTTTGAGGAATGCCCATTGCAATTGCATTTATTCAGCTATATATGCCAACATCAGAGGCAGAAAAGAGGAAGTTGAAACTGAGAGAACACACAAACACAATATACTAATATTTATGAGCAATTAGAATACAAAAATTGGGAAATAAAAAGAGGTAAAAGTATGGACTCAGCAATAGAAATAAAGTGGAGAATATTTGACTGAATTCTGCAAGACTAACCAACCACTTATTTCTAACACTTTCCAGCTGTACAAGCATTCACTGTACACGTGGACTTTGCCCAGCGTACTGAATAAAAATCAGTTGACTACATCTGTCGAAGTCAACAGTGGAAAAGCTCAAATAACATTCACAAAGACAAAAGCTGGAGCAGACTGTGGCAAAGATAATCACCTATTAGTGTCCAAATCAGACTAAAATTGCATCAGAACAAACCTATCATGAATGTCACAAAATACGACCTTAAAAATATACCCACAGAATTTAAAGGCTCTCTGTAAATTTGCTGCATTGGATACTAGCAAGTATCAGAAGGGATGTCTATGGCGATTCTCAATTATCCAGGTCATGGTTATCCAAAATGTGCTTTTCAAAAGGCAACTGAACTTTCTTGTTTTTTCCCTTGAAAACTTCTTGAATGAGAAGCAAAATGTTTTCAAGGAAATAGTTGCCTTTTGAAAAAGCACCTTTGGGAAATATCAGAAAAGTTATGGGAAGATATTTAAAAAGTGAGCTTGAAGAAAATGGAACAAAGATGGCCAAAATGGATAATTGGAAAAATTTCTGAATTTGTGCAGAAACATATAAGCAAAAAACAGAGAAACAAGAGAGGCAATTGTATAACTGAACCAAAACTTCCAACATACTGCAAGATGAGACAAAGAAAACTACTACAAAAATATTTGCAAGGAAACAAAAAATTGAAAATATTGGAGGGACTAAAAGTAACTAAATTGCTGCTAGAATTAAAGAGAAAATTCCAGCATTGAGCTAGAAAGCTGAGATAATCAAAAATCCACATTGAATGATGCTGAAAAGATCAAGAAAGGATAAAAAAAATACATGGATACTCATTACAGGTAGTCCTTATTTAGCAAATACAATTGGGATCAGCAACTTGGTCACTAAATGAAGCAGTTGCTAAATAAAACCATAACTGTGCTTAGAATCTTACTTCAATAGAAGAGAATATATGTTATCATAGACATATAAAAGAATATATGTCACACACCTGATTTGGTGTTTCTTGTTGGAACAGTGCCTATGTGATCTGGAATTGGTGCGCCTATCCTTGGTACCCTTGTCATGGTCAAATCATGCCTTGGCCATGATCGTCTCTAGAACTGTACCCCTCCAGAGGGAGGCCGGAGCTATTAGATTGATCTGTCCCCAGTGACTGATGGACACAGATAGGTTTCAGAAGGAGTAGGGGTTATAACCAAAGATTTGCTGCATAGTTCAGCCAAGTCCCTAGTAATTGCCTGAAATAGGACAGCGGCTTTGGATAGGATTGTGCAAATAAAATTTCTCTTGACCCATTGTCCTCATTGCCCCCAAAAGGTATACAGAGGAATTAAGAGGGATGAAATATCTAAAGCACCGTTGATGGAAGCCGAAGAATTAATTTGACCAAATATGGGTAAGATGTTATTGAAGCCTACCTCATGGCAATTCAGGTGCCAAATTGTAATTCTCCACATTCATTGAGTCAGGAAATAATTGCCCAGCAGCCCTCTTTAAGATGATCCACTTACTTCTGGGGGAGAAAGATACAGAGGTCTACCTGCAGGAGCACCCTGAGGCATTTGCTGATTTTTTTGAGAAACAAAGTTGCCCGGATTTTTCCTAGTTAGATGATGACATGGCTGCTGGTCCATTGGAGGTATCTTAGACAGGTTTTTGCCCGGTTATCCAAGAACAGTTTAATCCTGTTGCACTTGAGGGAGTGGTCAGAATCCTGGGGAATATGAGCAAAACGACCTATGTTTTAGATCTGTGTCCCTCCTGCAGAGGGACCTACTTTCTCCACTTCTATTTAACATCCACATGAAGTCACTGGATGAAGTAATCTACATGGAAGTCATCTGTCACCATGAGGTGAGATATCAGCAGTATGTTGATAATATTCAGCTGTATATCTCAGTTCATGGTGAGTTAAGCGATGTCATGACTTTCCTTTTGCAGTCCCTGCAGGCTATTAAAGTCTGGATGGGGAACAATGGGCTGAAACTGAACCATGGCATGATGGAATGGCCCTGGGCTTGGGACTTTTGGTTCACAGAGACTTGCCACCATTGGTTTTAGATGGGATTGCACTGCCCCAGACTGTGGGCTCAGAGTCAGAGTCAGAGGAAGGGATTGATGATGAGCAGTCAGCTCCAGCTCCAGAAGTTCTGAAAGATGACAAGCAGCCAGCTCCAGTGCCATCAGAGACTGTCATCTGAGCAGGCAGAGGATATGGGGCAAACCAGCGCCCAGCAAACACAGCTGCTATTGCTCTCTGAAGATGAGGGCACAGAAATATTGCCTCTTCCCAACCCAAGAGCTTGAT